ATTCAGGGCAGGATTGCCCAGGAACCGATTTGCTGGGGAGCATGGGAAGAGCTGGTGGGACACACAGATCCCAGCAGGGTTGAAAAGATGGAGGGAAGGGTGGGAAGGATTGGAGGTATTTTGCTCAGGATGAGGCTGGGGAGACCAAACACCCCCTTATTGCTGCCCCAGGCAGGGTCTGTCACTGGGTTTTGGGGTTCAGCCCTGCCCATTGACCTTGGCTAGAAGGATCCTGTGGGACTGGAGCTGCTGCCAGGGTGTCCCTGGAGCCGTAAGGACCAGTCTCCAGCTGCCGGACCCGACCCCATGCTGGCACTCGTGGCGGCGTGCACGCATGTCTTCTGTGTCTGCCCAGGTCACATCGCATCTCCCCAAAGTCACGAAGCAGCCACTGATGCTGGAAGCTCCTGTCAAGGCTTTTCTGTGGAAACAGCTCCCAGCTGCGGTGGAAGCTGTGAGAGATGCTGCCTTTCCAAGTCCAGCCCAGCCACTGCCCCCCGTCAGCTCCGTGACCCCAGCCGGTGACTGGCAGACAGCGCTGGGGGAAGGGGAAGATGACCCCAGGCCTCCTCCTAACTCAGCCAAGGAGGACGTTGCAACCTTCTTCATGACGCAGGTGAGGCCAGGCTGTAAATGTTCAGGACTGCAGGGCTTGTCCAGAAATGGTCCATAGGTGGATCTGCATTTCCTAAGTGAATGAACCGTGTGCACGTGCTGTGGGTACCAGTGGCTACAACCCTCCTTCGATTGCAAGGGCTTTAAGGAAGGAAGCATCAGCAAAAAAGCATAAATGCAACGTTGTGACCAAGAACAAGAATCGGTGGCCTATTTCGCAGGGTGGCGTGGGGCTGTGCTGGCTTGGTGGGTAGCCCCGACTGCAGGAGCTGATCAGTCCAGCATCATCCCTGCAGCATCTGCTGGAAAACTCCCTCCTGGAGCTCACCAGGGCAGCTGTTTGACTTGATTTCCCTGAAAATCTTGGGATTATCAGGGAGAAAAAAAAAATCTGCCCTGGGATAGGGATGGCCCCTCTTTCCTCTGTGCCCAGTCCCGCTAAGCAGAGATGGGATGAGGTGGTGGCTGCGTGGCTCGGTGCCACTGGGAGAGACCTCTGGCCACAGCAGGACGAGCTCTGGCTGACTGCACCAGAAAGGGCCACTGTGAGTTCCTTTATTTTGCTGTTTTGAGGTGGAAGATGTGTCCAGCCCCCTGCTGAGCCCCGTGGCAGAGGGCAAGCTGGAGAAGAGGAGTGAGCAGAGAGGGGAAGAGAGCTCCCAGGTGGTTCCACAGCGATACATAGGCTGCTCGGAGCTGCTTGGTGGAGACACAGACCCAGATTTTATTGAGCCGGTCGGTGAGTGAGGATAGCAGAAGGCTTTTTCTCCAAAAAACCTTGGCAGTTGATGATGAGCATGGTCCACTCTGACCAAGAAAGCAGCAGCAAAGGCTTTTGTTGTTCTACTTTCCCTCTCACAGGGATACAGAAGAACGTGCAGGCACTGTACTATATCCTGAAACACCCCCTGGTTTACCGGGACACAAAGCCACGCCTGGACAGCCTACAGAAGCCCTACGTGCCTCGGAAAAAGGTAAAGAGCCAAAGCTCTGGAGGGAGCATGGTTGTGTCTGGATCTGGATCAACCCACGTGTTTGGATGGATGCTGAGAACCTGAGCGTGGGCTTGGCCCAAGTTCCCAACCCCAGCGCCTCCCTGTTCTCTCTCCATCGTGGCGTGGGACACGCAGCCCCCACGGGAACCGACCTGCAGGGATGGGGCAGCTCAGCACACTGGGGCTGGTAAATGGCCAGTGGGCAGCACGGGGGCAACTGCTTGCCACCAATGCCCTGGAGAAAGCCAACCCCATCCCAAGGGAGGTGGAGGAAACAGCCTCCAAGCTGGGTCTGAGGGGCAGGTTGTACTGGAACTACAGTCCCTGAATCCACATGAAAAGCTGATCCAGTATTGCTCAATACACTTAAAATCTTAAATTGGTGTTGAAACCGGACCAGCGTGGTCAAAAAAAAGAGAGACCGTCTCGCCCACCTTGTGCGGAAGCATGGCCCATGTTTAGGAGAGGGGGCAGGAAAAGGAGGTGGAGGATCATCAGCCAGGAGGGTGGAGGGGAGGTGTGCTGCAGCCTCCGGGTCTTAGAATCATAGAATCGCTTTGGTTGGAAAAGACCTTTGAGATCATCGAGTCCAACCTTTAACCTAACCCTGCCATCCCACCACTAAACCCTGGCCCTCAGCACCTCATCTCTCCTTCTTTTAAATACCTCCAGGGATGGGGACTCGACCACCTCCCTGGGCAGCCCATTCCAGAGCCTGACAACCCTTTCAGTGAAGAAGTT